CAGGTCTCTAGTTTTAAGTACTCTAGCTTTATCCCTTATCCCTATTTATATCATTTCAACGAACATTCCTTGTTGTCTGCATTGTTTACTGTGTTTATACTGCTTATTCTGCATTGTTTGTTGCTGTCAATATTGCTGTAAATACTGCTTATTTTGTTATATTACACAGTGTTGCTTTCGTCAACAAAAATTATGACTAATATCATCGTCAACGAACCTTTATCGTGTGACGAAAACGAGACAAGACACAACGAAAATGCTGGTCATGTAACGATGACTATAATTAAATATATAATGCAATATTGTTGACGATAAAAAACGAGACGAAATGTTATAACGTTATTTCGTCTCGTTTAGTCATGTTATTATTATTATTTTGCAGTATTTCTGTTTCCTGTGTCTCGCTTCAGGGGCCGCATCAGACGCGTTCGCACTGCGCAGACGCAGGCGACATCACTTCCTTAACCACCACTCGCGGAATTATTGAGAAGACGACAACAAACAAAGTTAAGTCTGACACAGAGAAAGGGATCGATGGCCGGCCAGCCGGGGTTCGTCAATGGGAGAAAAGGAAGAAACGAGATTTGGAAAAAATATAATTACATAGAAGTGGAAAAGAAAACGGAATTTGTTGTGGAAAAAGATGGGGAAAAATGTGGCCACAAAATGTGTATTGATGTACTCTTGAGTCTGTAAAGTAACAATAATATAATAAGATAACCTTGTTTGAAATGGGTTTGACTAAAAGAAACTTTTGGTTTCATCTATACTACTGGGTACTTATACTATATTGACTGGGTTAAATAGAATTGCATTACTAAAAAGAGACTAAAATACAAATTTCATTGACTAAAACTACTAAAATGTCATCAGTTTTCGTCGACTAAAACTAGACTAGACTAAAAAGAGTATGAATTGACTAAAACTAATAAAAACTAAAATGGCAGCTTCACACAAAGACTAGACTAAAACTAAAATCAAAACAGGCCGCCAAAAAACAACTATAATTACACAGCCTTATGCTAGTTTACCGTTTGCACATTGAGAGCCGATGTACCTGAGTCAAATTCCTTGTGTGTCCATCGCACCTGGCCAATAAAACTGATTCTGATTCTGGATCCAAACACAGGAAACACATGGTTATTGTTATTTGAGGGAAACAGAAAAGCAACGGTAATGAAACAACCATAGTGTTATTCTAATCACCCAGACAGATTCAGATGGCTTCAGGTCCTGAGTAGAAAGAGTCTGACTGGCTGTTGTTACTGGGAGGTGAAGTGGACAGGGACAGGAGTTAGAGTAGCAGACGGATACAAGGATATCAGCAGAACAGGGGGCTCGAATGAAAGTTGATTTGGATTCAGTGACAAATCCTGGGCATTACGCTATGACCAAAACAGTTATCATTTTTGGTACAACAACTTTGAAACTCAGGTCTCAGGTCCTCAGTCCTCCAGACTTGGAGTGTACCTGGATCACAGAGCTGGTATTCTGTCCTTCTACAGCATCTCTGAAACCATGACTCTCCTCCACAGAGTCCAGACTACATTCACTCAGCCTCTCCATGCTGGACTTGGGTTTTCAGGTGTTGTTAGACTCTTCTCTACCACTTTTCCCATGTGACCTGAACAAGTGAAATCTGAAACTGATGCACAACACCAGAGGGCGTCTTCATCCTGCTACCCAGAGAGGCAGCAGAGGTTAACAACATGTTTTTAGACTGACATCAGTCACTTGACCCATCAATGTTTCATTAAAAAATTTCCTATATAACATTTTATTCCCCACTCTAATAAATTAATATTTATACCTTTTCCTAATTCATTTTTTACAAATTAAATAATGACACCCAGTCCTAAACTCATAGCAGTTTGTTTGCTCCAGTAAGACAGGGAAAATCTCAACCTTACTTGTTAAAAAATCCATTATGTTGATACTTATTTTCCTCCATGTAATAATAGATTGTTAACCTTCAAGTCTGTTCTCAACATGGTTCCTACATGCTGCAGAAGGACATATCTTAGTCAGATTTTAGCTGTCATTTATTGAGCAGAGCAGTACAGCACAACACCAAAGTTTCTCCTTTCTAACTGCTCAAAATAAATAAAACACCAAATTATTTATTTACAAGTTTTAAAAATCAAATTATGAATTCTTCTAAAAATCTAAAGCTAGAAGAAAAGGATGCACCCACAATTTCCCTTTCATACTCATTTTATGTAGCAAAATCACCACTAGGTCATAATCACTTCTGGTTGACTCCATCCTTTTTTGATTCAGCGGCATTCAATCTTAAAAGGCATGTTTGCTTTGCATTTGATGTAAATGTATGTTGCATTTTATTTGCCTCTGAAGAGTTTACTATTTCCTACTATTTATTCACATTGCTCTTGATGTGAAAATACCTTAATGCAAATTTTACTGTTAAAATGAGCTCACTTTGGGATTCTAAGTCAATTTGGGGTCATTTGCAATGATGCTGTTTTGTTCCTGATGGCTTACTCTCCAAAAGCCACCCTTACAACCCATTACAAATACTGCCATTTGTGACTAGCTGATTGTTTTAAATTCTCACATAAGAAGGCTGAAATTTTCCACTCTCACAAAAACAGACAATTCCCTCCAGCAAAATAAACAAACAAAACCTCTCCAACATTTTTGACCTTCCCACTATGCCAAATTATTACTAAGCCTGAACATTAAGGCTGAGACAAATGACAATGATATCTATGTGTACGCAGCTTGTGTATACAACCTGAGAAGTAAAGTTACAAACTAGAACATCAGTGCAGATGCTTGGAGAATGGATAAAGAGATAGTAGGGTAACTGTGCACCCTTATTATAATTTGGACAGTAAATGGTGTTATCTGTGCACATTTAGGCTCAAAGGCAAACCGAGCTCGTTTCTTTCTGATGATGTTGACTAGTCAATTTGGACAGTTTGCCGTATGCACAGTTAGGAAACGTGTTTCCCAAGTGAAATAAAAAGTAGATGAGCATTAACACAAATCTAAATAGGCAGCAACACAAATCTAAGGCACTTTAAAGCAGCAAGTGAAAGAAGCACAGTAAAAATACAACAAGAACACAATATAATGTAGAGCAGGGGTGTCAAACTCAATCACACAGGGCGCCAAAACTCAAAGCACACTTTAGGTCACGGGCCGAACAGGATCAAAATGTATTGAACAGACAAAAACTAAACGTTTTTTGAACATAAATATGAATCGAAATAGACAAGATACAGTAAAGAAAGTCACTTTCGGCTTTTCCCGTTTAGGGGTCGCCACAGCAAATCGTCACACTGACGACTCGCATGTTGACATTTGGCACGTTTTATGCTGGATGCCCTTCCTGACGCAACCCTGATTCAATATTATTCCAAAATAAATAAAACTTGAACTTAAAATCAGCAACCGTATTTCTGCTAAGGCTTACATTTGCAAACACCTGCTTTTTGTCTGGACACAAGACGTCGCACACTTTCATCATGCAGCTCTTCAGAAACTCTCCCTCGGTAAATGGCTGGGCTGATTTGGCTATCTCCTCTCTACAATAAAACTTGCCTTCACAGCAGCTTCACTGTGTGATTTTGCTTTGGTGAAAACGTCTGCTGTGATGTCAGATTCCTCTTCAACTCTTCTACCTTCTGTAGCTTCTGTTATGCATTCAGATGTAGAGAGAATATATGCTACGTACGTGGGAGCCGTGAAGTGCAAATAATCAGCAGTGAGTGTGCAATTATGCATGTGCAAAATGAGTATTTAAACAATACATGTGGAGTTACATGAGGTAGATCCTGAGTCAGCTGTTTAGGAGTCTGATGGCAGTCAGAAAGAAAGAGTTTTAAGTATAGAGGTCCTGCATTAAACACTTCTGAGCCTCCGACCAGAGGGTAGGGGTATGAACAGTCCATGCTGGGGGTGGGTGGGGTCCTTGAGGATGGAGGCAGCTTTCCTGTGGTGGTAAATGTTCTGCAGAGAGGGCAGTGGAGTCCTGGTGATCTCAGCCTCCTCAGGAAGTTCAGCCGCCGTTGGGCCAAGTGTGTCGAAGTGAGGTCCTCACTGATGTGGACGCCCAGGTATTTGAAGCTGCTCACCCTCTCCACTTCGAGCCCCTGGATGAACAGTGGTCGATGAGTTCTCCTCTCCTTCCTCATGTCCACTATCATCTCCTTCGTCTTGTCTGTGTTGAAGGTGAGATTATTGTCCTTGCACCATGACACCAAGATCACGGAAGAATCATGGATATATTAAAGAAAAAACAGAGGAAAACATGTCTGAGTTCTCTTAATTACGGTAACAGGTGCAATAATTATATTCTTCTGGCATCATGATGACATTATTTCATTATTATTATTTCAAATAGCAGAAAAAAACGCGGTACATTTCATGTAACGTTTTACAGCCTCTGAGGTTTCCTGAAGCTTATAGACAGAAATAAATGTCATATCCTTCGATCTGCCAGCTTGATTGATGTGCACTCTGAACTAAAATTAGGGGCGGCTGTGGCTCAGGAGATAGAGCAGGTCATCTCTTAACTGGAAATTTAGCAGTTCCATTCCCGGCTTGTCCAGTTCATGTGTTGAAGTGTCCTTGAGCAAGACATTGATGTCACTGGTGAGTGAATTTGGGAGTGTAAATAGGGTGAAAGCACTTTGAGTGTGATGCAATGCATAGAAAAGTGCTATACAAGTATAAGACCATTTAAAATTAGAGCACAGATATAGTGAACATAGGGCACAGAAGTTTACCACCAAACAGTAAATGTTGATGTTACCAAATAGTGTTAAAAAGCAAATAACATTAAATTCTATGGCATATTCTGCCAACTTATATGAACCTCTGAGATTTTATAAGGAGCACTCCTGCATGAACAGCTTTATTAAGCACTATTCTCCTTAATACATCCATACACACACATCTACGTGAGTGACTGTAGAACGATCACTTACAGAGATTGCTCCTGAGATCTGATGAGGTCACAATGGCCACTGTGGCTGTGGAACTCCAACAGATATACAGGGCATCACAGCCAGATGCCAGGGCAATGACGGCCATTGTGAAATTTATACCCTGTTGTTCAGTCTCTAATGTGAGATTCATTTGGTTAGAAGTTGTTTTCTCCTAACTACTTATTTGAAAAAAGAACCCCAACAGGACTAATCATTAATAACATTATCTTCTGTTCTGCTTTGAATGATGATTCTTCCACAAAAAGCAACTCTTGAGATTTTGAGTTCAGTCAGCAAAGGCAATTTATCATATTTGTGATGAAAGAAGTTATGAGTGTTTCATATAAGACTGGCAAAATGAGAGGTGAAATCAGTGTACATCTTTTCATGCTTGTAAAACAACATCCATGTCATTTCCCAACGTTCTTTGCAGTTACATTAGCATCTACCCAAAGCAAGATGGTTGACCTAGCTGTAGTACATATACAGAGGATAAAACTAAAGATACATTCCTTAGAACAATCTTAGTGACTCTAAATTATCAAACCATTTGAAACCAACAACCCATACAGATGCAGAATAGTTAGGGAACTGCAGGTACTCAGCAGAAAACACAATCTCTTGTTTTTAACCAGTCATCCCTGACTCAGGTTTGAACAAATGAAGGAAAAGTTAATCCTCAATCGGTCATGGTGCTATTCTTCCAACAGAGGTGGAGGAGTGAGCTGAAGTTGGAAATTCTCTGTTCCTGCTTGAGTGGGAACTACAGTTCTCGCTGTCTCATGGCTGTGGCCGTGGGAGAGCTCTGAGAGGATGGACAACTGGAAGAGGCAAAAAACAGAACAGGTAGAAAAGCTGTAACATCTTTGTCTTCCTCTTAAATGGAGATACACACACCTGCCTACATAGAAATAATTGCAATAAGTATCGATGCAACTCCTGTCTCCTGTATTGTGTCCTCTCTCTCCCTGTACCTTTCTGCAGGTGGCCCTGGTTCTGAAGCTCTAAGTCTCTGATGAGCAGTCCCCAGCCACATCAACCTGCCCAGCGTTTGTTTGTTGTTGTGTTTGATTGTGTCTTGTTGCTTTTCTTTCTTTTCTATCTCCTATATCCACTCACCCCAACCGGTCGAGGCAGAAGGCCGCCCACCAAGAACCGGTGTCTGTCGGAGGTTTCTTCCGCTAAAGCAGGGGTGTCAAACTCAATCGCACAGGGGGCCAAAACTCCAAGCACACTTTAGGTCGCGGGCCGAACAGGATAAAAATGCATTGAACAGACAAAAACTAAACGTTTTTTGAACATAAATATGAATCGAAATAGACAGGATACAATAAAGAAAGTCACTTTTGGGAAATGTTGCGCTGCACTATGGGATTTGTAGTTTGTGTGTTATTGGCGCTTCATATTGCCAGGCCATTAAAAAAAGATATATAAAATGATCTCGTGGGTCGGATGTGGCCCGTGGGCCTCGAGTTTGACACATGTGCGCTAAAGGGAGTTTTTCCTCCCGCTGTCGCCAAGTGCTGCCAGGGGGATTTGTTGGGCTTTTCCTCTATAATACTGTGAGGTCTAGACCTGTACTATCTAAAGTGCCTTGAGATGATTGTTATTGTGAATTTGGGCTATACAAATAAAAGACCCGACTTGACTTATCAAGGTTATTGTGCACAGTCAGGGGGCTTTGACAGTAAAGGCCTGGTCACCTCTAGTCACAAGTTAAGTGTGTGGAACTACAAAATAGGCCCTGCCAGAGGATAGCAAGCAGTGATCAGGCTCATAGAGAGTCAGTATATCACAGATATAAGCACAAGCCTGACCATTCAAAGCCTTAAAAATATGCAGTAAGATCTCTAAACCTTTGGGGTGGCATGGTGGAAGTGATAGAGAATTGTGTCTGTTTTTTGTTTTTTTTGTTTATTTTTGCAGTTTGGCCTCATGATAACATTGATGTCTTACTGTTACTGAGAATAAATCGAAACAGTGATGAAGAGGTTTGTTGTTAGTAGCTCACTGTCACTGTGGTGTTGAGGAATTTGTTTTTGTGCCATTCATGAATCAGATCATTTTGAAGTAGAAACATGAATGAAACATAGTGGTTAAGATACAATTAGTCGTCCCAAAAGAAGTACAGTAGGGACTGATGTAGGAATATCATCCTTGACCCTGCTGCTAAAAACAAGCACGTAATTTCCAACTTGGGAAGCCAGAAGATCCCATAAACACATACTCTGCAAGAAAATGTTGGCCTTTAGTGCTGTTGGCACAGTTGGAGAAAAGAGAAGCAGTGCCACAACTTCCATAAGCTGACAAATACTTTAAAAGTCTTTAGTTTTTCTAGAAGCAGAGTTGCTTCAGTTGAAAAACTCACAAACTGCTGGAGATGCCCCAGTGACCAACCACACAAAAGCTTCTCAAGCAACTCAAGACATTAAGCGAAACAAAAGTATGATACTCCTATTTTCTAATCTTGTCTTTTCTGTTTTTCTAGCCAACATTCCATAAACAAAACATTTTAAAAGGGCCAAAATCTTTGATAGATTGATCTGAATAAATGAATGCAAAGTACAGTTTTAGAAACTGAATTCAATTTTACGATTTTCAATTGTTAATTTTATATATAGAAAATCAAAGTGTTATACAGACCCTGTACCTGTAATCATAAGCTACCCTACACAGAGTGGGGACAAAATACATTATGAATAAAATATACTTTGTGTTGCAAATAAAAAAAGATACGTTTATTGCACCTGATCATTTTGACAGACAAAGTTAGCTTTGGACCTCCACAGTGGCACAGGATATAATAGGATATATTAGCAAAAGTTACATTCTGACACCCCAAAACATTAACTACTTTATGTCCAAAACATCTTGACTCAGCTCACATCTTATGAAAGATATAACAGTACAAATGTACTCTACAGTACTGTCCATTGTCAAGATTTTACACTACACAACAATAAGAACAATCAGTTCAGCTCTTCTAAGTGTTATTTGGGCTCATTTTAAAATTCATATTTATGAGACAGACACATTGCCCATACCCTGGAGGGTCCTCGGTATAAACAGCGTAGCTGATCCCAGGACTGTTCCTGCTG